TGTAATATTATCGATCTTTTAAAGGTTTCATCTAATTTTACTATTTAATGAATTTATAACTTTGTACATATTTTTTTTTTTTGCTTGTATCTTATGTGTTGTATAAACCCAACAATCTTTTCACATACATATATATATATATATATATATATATATATACATACATACATATATATATATATATATATATATATATATATATATATATATATATATACATATATATATATATATATATATATATATATATATATATATATATAGGGGCGATCACATATGGCCATGTTGTTAGGTGTGGTCATATGGTCAATTATAGGCCATTAGATTAGATAGATCCAATGAATCACATTAATCAAGATTCTTCCAGTATTTTCGCGCACATTCTCCTAACCAGCGAACTGCAAGGGTAAACTCATCATATGGCACCGAAATAGGAAAAATTACATTGTTGTGTGTTTTATTTGTGTAATTGGTGCATTATTAGCCTTACTGTGGTGTATTTGTAGATTCCCATTGGTGCCAAGTTCAGGTGCGGCAACACCTTCCCATGTGGTCAGTGCGGCCACACCAATTGTTATACAAATATACACAATCCATGTTATGAAATGCATAACAAAAAGCATACACAAATTAGGTACGCATCACAAAAAATGCGCCATTAGATATGAATAAATACACCGTACAGTGTTCGGGAATACAGTATTGGTGTGTTTCACTGTGGTGTGTTTTATTACACTATTGGTGCATGTTGTCAACATTGTTGGTGTATTCTGGAGCCCGGCCGCTATAAATGGCCACTGTAATTACCATAACACCCCCATGCGCGAAAATCCTCAAATCATCAGAATTAGTCACTGCCGTTAGATTAAACTGATTCAACGACACAGATACGACCACACCGCCACACCTAATGACATGACCACATATGAGCGCTCTTATATATATATATATATATATATATATATATATATATATATATATATATATAAAACTTATTTTAAAACTTATTTAATCAATTAACATTTTTTATAATATAATATAATAGAATTTTTAATATAATAAATGCTGGGCCAATACATTGTTACATTTTTTTTTTATTTCTGGCCCAAAGCTAATTCATTGTTGCAGCCCAATACTAAAATCCATTAAATTCATAAATATTGGCTAACCTTTCCCTCAGTTGTTATACTGTGGACCGGTCAAAACAGCGCCGTTTCATTAAGTAAAGAAACGGTGCGTCGTTACTATTAACGGAGCACGCATTTTTTGATGTATTAATTATCAACTGAAATTACAATGTATCGAAACCGACACAACCTCACGTAATAAGAAAAGCTTGATTCCAAGTAGTTCTGTACTGTGTGTTACAGTTGCATTATCTACAAGATGTTAGGCTTCAAGCACCATATTAGATTTTATGTCTGTTGGAAAAATTAGCTTAAAATGACATAAAATGGCATATTAAGTGGCTATTTTGTGGTACAATTATCAGTGGAGTCCACTACCGATTTGGGTCGGGTCAAAGTGGATTCGGATTCTTCGTAGTAAGACGAAGAGATTGATATATTGTACGCTCAAAACGGATAATGGGTGAATGAAATATTGATTCTCAAAGTAGACCCATTTAAGTTGGGAAATGAAGGGAAAATGTAGGACTTTGTCCCACATTGGTTTGGAAACAAGATTTGCCCCCCTTATATACATGAGCTCTTTTTAAACTTGTAGAATTGTATAGCATAGAGGCTCTCTCGCGCGGGGGAGGGGGGGGGGGGGGGTGCAAATCAAAATCCAACTAGAGGACATCAAAAAGGCTTGAAATCAAGCCCGAGCTCGCGTGCGCCGGCACCTGCGGGCACGAATGTCGTCCGGAAATGGGCTAAGTTATGCCTAACTTCGGTATCATTTTCCAACTGATATAGTCACTTGGTTCGGCCGGAACCGAACCGAGAGCACCTACTCTCGTGCTACAGAGGAGCAAGAGAGGCTGTGGTGCACCGAGAGCACAACTCTCGTGCATTCTGTGACCACGAGAGTGGTGCACTCTCGGGTTGCACCACAGTGCACACGAGAGATGTACTCTCGTGTTGCTGGTCCGTGTGCTCTCGTGTGAACCTGCACCCCAACAGTCTGAAACCCGAAAGTTCAGCCTGTTGTACAGATTAAACTCATCTGTTACGGAATTAATACTGTTTTAATTCCAATTTTAAATCTGAGTTTAATCCTACTTAGTGGGTGACCGTTACAGGTGTTATACAATTGGTTTAATACCAATTAAAAGCCATGTTGAATGCTATCCCTTCCAACAGCCCTATATAAAGAGAGGTAGAGCAGTAGCATTTTGCACAGTACAAAAACGAAAGGAATTCCAGTAGCTTTCAGTTTCCCAAAACTCTGCTTCTACTCTCTTCTTTACCAACTAGTGTTCTCTACTTTGCTTTGTTTGCCGGGTTCCTTGTTTAGGTGCTTAAACAAGGAATCGTAGCACGTTTTATCCTGGGAAACCTAGGCTACAATGCTCCTAGCACTTGTGGGAGGTAGCAAATAAGGTCTTAAGGAAAAGAACCTTGTGTTCGAACTCGTGCTAAACCTATACCCAAACACTCAACCTTTTCCTTCCCAATTTTATGTTTTCCCATATAATATTAATCTTTCCGTAGGATTATTATTGTTTTCGGGAATTTTCAACCATATTACCCAACAATGTCTACAATCATTCCTTAAGAAATAGGGGTGTTCATTCGGTTAATTCGGATAATAAATAACCAAACCGAATTAACTGAATTTACAGAATACTTTAACTGTTAATTGAATCAAAATTCAAATTTCTAAATTAACCCAACTTATATTTTTTGATTAATCAGTCAGTTAACCAAATTATTTCCAATTCATACTTTCACATAAATATTACAAAACTAGTGTAACAGTATATAATTTATGAGTTATTAAAATAAATTTAAAAATATACATGCACAGGTAATTCGGTTAACCAATTGGGTAATTCAATTAATTGTAATTTCGAACCAAATGAATCATTAACCAAAATTACTAAAAATCCTTAACCATTAATTAGATTGAAATATTTCGATTAAAAAATAGTTCATTGGATTTTTTCGATTTCATTGGTTAACTGTGTTTTCACCGAATTGTGTACCCCTTAAAAGAAACCATGCCAGAGAAGAAGTTGGGAAAATATTTATGAAGAGACAGGGCAGGGCAATGATCAATGTTATGCTCCAATTGATGTCCAGTCTTAACTAACCAAATTGCTTTCATAGTTTTTGCCATAATTACGTTGAGATTGAGAATGTTAGCTAGGACTTAAATTAGTTTGTTGGTTGGGTTTAATTTGAATATTTGATGCAGCTATATAGTGTAGCAGGGGCAGATGCAACTGAAGAGATAAAATGCACAGCCCAAATCACAAACTGGCTCCCTGAAGGACTACACAATTTCCTTAACTCTGTAGACTTTGTCTAGACGTTGTGTTTGACCGGCTTGTGTACCTTAACTCTGTAGACTTTGTTGAATGCTTTAGTTTCTCGCATGTGCATCTTTTGATGTGGCATAATGCCCCCATATAGATATGCTTCCGCTTTTGTTTAATGGCTTATTAGATTGCTTTTCTTTTGCAATTAAGTTTTGAAAATATGGTAAAATCGGGGGTGTTACATTGTCAATGTGTATTTTTTTTTAAATAAAAAAAAGTGAAATTGGAGTGATATGTAAATAATTACTGTTGTACATTTTTGCACGACAAAATTGAATGACTAAAACAACTGGATTAGGGTTGTCATAGTTGACATGCTATAATAGTTGATCAACATATTGCTCCCAAAATGTGCAAGGTAAACGTCTCTCTCTGAAAAGAGAAATAAAAAAGATTGTTATAAGACGTACACACATTAGGAAACACATAAAATCCATGATTAAGTGTAAAGTTGATTAATGTAACATGACTTACTCATAATCCTGAAGAACAAAGTGGATGAACTTGATCTCCCGTCCATTAATTATGATTGTACGTAAAGATTCAATCGAGACAGCAGAACCATCCAAATCTATAGAGATTTATCATTATAACAATAACAACTATATATATATATATATATATATATATATATATATATATATATATATATATATATATATATATATATATATATATATATAGTAAACGAAATGAGGACCGTAAATAAGTATTATCAAATAATTCGAAAGCATTAATTTGGTTAGGACCAAGTTGATCGAAAGCTTTCAACATGTATGTCATTATTATTACTATAATAATTACTATAATAATAATAATAATAATAATAATAATAATAGTAACCAATATTATATTCTTCTTTTACTCAATATGTTAAATTATATGAATTACATAAATTTATTTATAAATTGACTAATTCGTTATTATAGTATAGTATTATAGTATTTATTATTATTATTATTATTATTATTATTATTATTATTATTATTATTATTATTATTATATAGAGATTACTATTTACTATAATTTACTATAATAATAATAATAATAATAATAATAATAACTAATATTATATTCTTCTTTTATTCAACATGTTAAATTACATGAATCTATTTATAAATTAATATGAATACAATAAATGTTTTCACATTTGTAGGGGAAATTGTTGGGAATAATAATAATAATAATAGTAATTAATATTATATTCTTCTTTCACTCAACATGTTAAATTACATGAATTACATGAATCTATTTATAAATTAATATGAATACAATAAATATTTTCTCATTTGGAGAGAAAATTTTTGGGACAATTATTTTGCTTTAATAACCATTCTAATCATAAACGTAAAGGAAAAAAAAATATTGCATTACACTAATTCGGTGAATCCTTTTGGTAATCTACCCTACTTACATTTGTACATTTTTTTTTTTAATAATATTGTTCATTTTCAAGATCTATATAAGAGTAATATCTTGTGAAAAGAAAAATATAATCCTTCATCTCAAAAAAGAAATTGTTGTTGCAACATACACCAAAGATCATGAAGAACAGCAATATGTTTGTGATTTTTTCCCTGACGATTTTTTTGACTCTACTAAGCCCTTCTCTAGGTATTTTTTTTCTTCAAATTTTAATATAATGTATATTAATTAATAAAATATAATACCTTATTTTTGATTTTTTGATAACTTTTTTTCACCTCCTTTTATAATTTTTTATTTTATGTTAAGGTCAAGTGAAGTTTTGCCCAGGAAGTTTTACCGCAGATGGTGTATGTGGGAGCATTAGTTGTGGAAATTTGGCATTATTTCATTGGCCAGCAAGCTCTATGCCTCATAGTTGTGTATGTGCTGATGCTGGGGCAGGCAAAAGCCTTTGTACTTGTCAAATCGTTTGTTAGAATGACTATCATTTTAATGTAATAAACGGTTTTTAGAATGGTTATTATTTTAATGCAGTCTTTTATTTTGTTTTCCTTTTATAATAATGACTAGAATGACTATCAATTTAACCCAATAGGATAGCTCAAATGGCAAATGAGCTATCTTTGTGGGGAAGAATTTTGGCCAGGATAACCCTGGTTCGATTCTCACATTGGGCCAGCTTCTGTGGTTCGATTCTCTTTGGGCCAGCTTCTAAACCGTCCTGACTACATTTTGATTTACACCAAAAAAAAGAATGACTATCAATTTAATACATTATTATTTTTTCCTTTTACATTAAATGATCCTTATTTAACTATGGAATCCTTTATGTACTTTCATCTCTTCTATGTTCTGGCACTCATAATTGGACCGGTGTTGTGACAACCCAAAATTTATTTTATAAATCAATTTTTAAGAAAATTCAAAATAACAAATTTTCACTCCATAAAAATTTTTGCGATGAAAAAAGTGTTGAATAAATTATTTTGAGCCACGATAAATTAGATTCGACATCAAGATTGGATTTAAATTCCAATAGCCTAATTTTTTGAGTACATTGGTGGTTGGAAAAACGCTGATTTCCAGGTGTGGTATGATATTTGATTCTAACTTTAATATATTGCATACAGTACTCAATATATATATACCCATAAATTCATACCACACCTGGAAATCAGCGTTTTATATATATATATATATATATATATATATATATATATATATATATATATATATATATATATATATGGAAAATTCTATTCACACCCCCTTTTTTACTATTTGCACCACCTACATAATAGGTAGTGCTAACTACAAAATGCTATTTACACCACATTATTTAATGTGGTCAAAAGAGTAATATTTATTTTATATTTTTTACAATTAAATTATTAATAAAAAAATTTAAAAAATTTAAAAAAAAAACTTAGCGTCACCTTCTCCGGTGAGAAGGTCGTCCCTGCCTTCTCACCGGAGAAGGTGACTGAGGAGTTTTTTTTTTTTTTTAATGAATTAAATTTTGAATTAATTAATATTTAAATCTAATAAATGTGGTTTGAATAAGGGGGTGTAAATAGTATTTTGATCACCCATTAGGCTATTTGCACCACCTATGTATTTATTATAATTTTTCACTTTTTTAGATTTTCAATGTACTTTATATCCCATTTTAGTCAAACGGGGGTGCAAATAGCAACACCTATATATATATATATATATATATATATATATATATATATATATTGCGTATATTAAACATGCAACTGAAATGAAAGCATTCCCCAAATATTTATTGGTTTGACCTTTTTTCCTTTATTACACATTTATACGAAGTATTATTTATTTTCCACCATTCTTTTCCCCACTTCCAACAACTTTCAACTTTGCTTTCCTTCCAGAAGAATTGGTCTCTTTACGACAAAAGATCTTTTCCTTTCCTCATTAACGTTGTTGTACTAGTAGGGCAAATTATGCCCTGGAAACGTGTTCACCGAGAATGGTGAACATAAGGCCAAACGACGTTGTTTTTAGGCAAAAATAAAAATAAAAATAAGAATTCGCGGATGTGGAATTAACGGCGCGCGTTGATTAAATTATGAATTTTCTGTTATGAGATTATGAATTTTCATAAAATTCATAATCGCATAACAGAAAATTCATAATCGCATAACAGAAAATTCATAATTTCGTAACAGAAAATTCATAATCTCATAACTGAAAATTCATAATCTTGTAACAGAAAATTCATAATCTCATGGTTCCAAAGTGAATGTGTAGGCATGGTTCCAAAGTGAATGTGCATGCATGGATTCATAATTTATGAATGTCCGTGATTTCGGACGGGAATGTGTATGCACGGTTCCAAAGTGAATGTGCAGGCATGAATTCATAATTTATCATTGTTCACCTCAAATTAAAGTGAAACCGCAAAATGTGAAAATGAAGAAGAAAAGTCACGCAATTAATTAAAAAAAAAAAAAAAGATAACAGTGTACTAACACCGTTGGAACCGTGTTCACCATGAATGGTGAACACGGTTCCATGGCATAACGCTCCGTAGTAGTAGTTCGCGGGCCCGTTCCAGGCTGTGGGCCTTGACAGGTCATCACTTGATGCAGCCCTAATGTTCACGTTTGACCATGTCCCATCTTTGGAAATTGACTGAAATGATTAAAGAATAAGTGGAACAAATAAAAATGAGTAAATTTTTAAATTTGGACAAAAGAATGAAAAACATGTTTGAGATTTGTGTTTGTTGAATTTCAGCGAAAAAATAATAATAATAAAGTTAAGCGTCACTTTCATTTTTTATTAGAGGAGTAAAGATTTTTTATTAGAGTAAAGATGGTAGCACACTTGTAACAAAGTTGACAACACAACTTATAGCCAAGAAAGAAACTTGGTAGCAAGGTTTGAAGCACAGAAGTAAAATTGTGCAGCACACCAAGTCTCAAATGAGTTTTTCTTTCTTTTGTCTAAATTTTAAAAGTTATCCATTTTTATTTCTTATATTTCTTTAACCATTTCAGTCAATTTCTGATCTTCTGATTTCATCCACTTTAAATTCTTTTCTTTATTTTTTTTAATAGCTCAATAATCACATATTTAATCTTTTTAATTTTTTATAACCTAAAATTTTCACATTCGTTGAGTTATATTCTGTATCCATGAACCTGTCATCTAAGTTGGTGAGGAGGTAAATTGAATTAATAAAGTGTACACTTTTATACACAAAGAGTCTAATATAATCCAAATTCAAACTTTCAATGTTCACGATAAAACTTGTGTCTGTACAAATATGTCTGCTGAGTTGTGTAGAGTTTGTATCCGTAGGATTGTTTTTGGGTCAGTTAGTCAGTATATATTTGCTTGATTGTTGTCTTTACAAAGAAATAATACAACAAATTCTTCTAAATCTTTCTTAACACCTACTATACCACTAAAAACAAATCTTAAGTGAGATATCTCATCTACTATACCAACTTAAAACTATCTTTATATTGCATTGGATAAATTTCGCTTCTATGCAATAGTACCTTTTGTGATAGATTTGACATTCTAGTATGATTTTTTTTTTTTGAAAACCAATCAGATGAATTGTATTAATGAATCAAAGCAGTAATAGTGTCAGGAGGGATAGACTCCCAATACATAGACTGATCCTGAATAAAAGCTAAAGAAGCTAGAATACAAGCATGTAAATTAATCTGCCTAGAGATATAATTTAACGAACAATGATTAAATAAAGACATAGAAGTTCTGCATTGGTCCACTATGACCCCTACATAGGACAAGATAGTTGTTGTTTCCTGGTGTAAAACACTTCATAGCACCGAGCAATCTGTGAGAAGACTGAACGTTGTGACGTTCCTTTCCAGTAGCCAAGATAGCGCCTCTTTAAAAGCCATAGCCTCCGCCATAAGTGGTGAGAAACAGGCCGGTAGCTTGCCATTTTTTGCTGCCACGAACGAGCCCTCCGAAGAGAGTAGCACAATGCCGTACGTGCAGTGACATCCCCGGTGTCTTGCCAGAAACTGGCGTCCACGTAGCACCGTGGGCCTTCATGCACTTTGCTCGCTGGCGTGGGTTGTGTGGGGCGGTGATGCACCTGCCGGAACGACTGCATGGCGTTGGCAGCCCTCCTCCAAACATCGTCGGGCCATGGGAGAGCTCCCTTCCACACGGCTGAATTTCGGCTGCTCCATATGTTGTACAACACGGCCACCATATGAGTCCACATTGTTCCTCCGTCAAGACTGTCAAAGAACCCATTAGCCATGTTGAAAAGGAAGTGGTAACAATATTTGTGATAGTTAATTGTGTAACATTCCAAACAAGTCTAGAATATTCACAATTGAAGCATGTGCTCCATCTCAACTAAAAGCCTAAGCTGATAGTTGGATTGCACATTAATGGTTATATGCTCACATGCCCCCTCACGTGTGACGAAAGTTCGGGCTCGGATACCAAATTGAAGCATGTGCTCCATCCCAACTAAAAGCCTAAGCTGATAGTTGGATTACACATTAATGGTTATATGCTCAACATTCACAAAACACTAAAGCATGCATAACATCTTCATGATCCAAACCACACATTTGGCATGTAGGACTCACTTCAATTCCACCCTCCTCTTTATAATCAAATTGGTAGTAGTGGGAGAATATCACAAATTGCTCTCCATAGAAATGTCTTCCACTTGAGAGAGACCTTTAGTTTTCATAGTGTAGCCCATTTATCAAAAGCACCCGGGGCACACACGTAATCCCCGACTATTTTTCTAGTAGGCATTCTTTACTGAATAAATCAATTGTTATGTTTAGTATTAATATATTAAAAGTATTATTAAACCTAAAAAAAAAAGTTAAATTTAAAAATTATAAAAATGTAAAAAATAAGCAAAGAACACAAAATTAATTTGATTAATGAATAGTAAATTGACTATTTAAAATGAAACAAGAGACTATTTTTAAGACTAATCTAACAAAATTCTGATACGCACCAATGAAAATAAGTAGATCTAAAATTAAGTTAAAATATACCTTTGTTCCCATTATTATTCTTGTCAACTCAAATATTTGAATTTGATTATTATTATTATATAAGTAGAATTATTCTTATAGCATAAGCAATGCATGGGCTCCACTAAGCTAAGGGTGAAGGTTGCCATCCATCGTTCCACTTTGTGCAAATTAAACGATCTTTCAGGGAATCCATATATTGACAGCAATTATAGCTTTAATTTTGCAGACGCCTATATTAGCCTCAGCTCCTCCCATTACTGCTCTCACCCATTAACCATTATATTTCACACACTTCATATCCCTCTCTTCTGCGATCCCCCAACGAAACACCTCTCATTTCTTCCACCAAAAAACCCACAATTAAGCATCCAGCGTATATGGCTTCTTCAGTCAATCTTTCTTTCATTTCGTTCTTCACTTGTTCTCTCCTCATCCATGTTACTCTTGGTACGTGTTAGATTTTCTCTTTTTCCACTTTTGATTCCACGATTATGATACCATTTTC